AACAGTTACCTCCCTTGCTGACACTCGAAAACGGCTTTTTCTAGTATAATCACGTATGGAGCAATATAAAAGTCTCTGGTGTAATAAATAAATATCATATACGCTAAGGATGGTATTACAGATTGTTCACCCTTTTGCACTGTACTTCGATAAGATACCTCATTCTGGTTTAAGGCAAAGTTCGTTCGCAGGAAAGTAACACAACACCTGCAAACTTTCAATGCTCTGCCTGATTTAGAAAGGAAGTTGACTTATCAATTTCAAAATACCACTGATACTTTTTCCTCGACTATATAAAAGAAACATGCCTCAATCACTTCTACAATTAAGGTTGCACATGAAGGCCGCCATTTTATCATGAGATTGAAAGAAGTTCTAATATGTCGCCTTAAATTATAACATCTGAGGTCTATTTGCGAAGCATAATTAAGCTTAAGAGATCAGCTCTTTATCTTAAGCGAATAGTGAAAATAACGCATTAAGAACCGCGGTACCACCAGCAGTGTTTGTGAAGGCAGTAATTATTCATTACCAGAATAGGGTTCTCACACCGCTTTTGGTGTGATTTCTGTCAAGTCAAAGGGTAATTTGCCTCATTTCATAATTACTTTTCGACGAAAAAAATATTTTAAGAGGCCTGTTATATTATAAAATAATTGGATACGCATTTTTTTATTGTTTTCAATAATATTAGAAATGTGTAGACAGAAATCTGTGTGACGTAATTGCACTTTTGGAATAAGTTCACATGGCAATGTTTTTCGCAGTCGTTGAATTTTTATATCTCTCTTTTTATGGTCATACAAAGAAAAGTGAAATAAAGTCTCTAAAATACCGTTTATGTTTTAAAGTATCAATAATTAAAAATTTGCAGTTGCCTTCCATCGGAAGTTCAGCCAAACACCTACCGCTAAGTTTTCCTCTTGTTGAAGTGAACAACGTTGGAATTCGGCCGCAAGAATAAGTGTTTGTACTTGTTCAGAAAGAACTTAATTCATATAGACTGGGGCACTTCTATTTGAGCAATTGAACACGAGTGTTTTAAATTTGAGTCATTCGTGCTTTTCAAATCGTGAAACATGGCCTAATGTGTTTTTGAAGAAATTGTTTTGGAGCCGTGAAATCTTTCTCGATTTACGTCAAGTGTGGCATGCGCGTTTTGAGTTCTTAACATTTCCTGAATTTCATTTTTGCGAGAATATACAATCAGTGTACATGTAAGCTCAAAGAAACAAGCAATTATCATAGTATTGCAAGCAATCCATAAGTCCCCTACCGGTTAGAACCCCATCAACATTCTGAAGGGCCATTTACTAATGTTTCAATTTTTCTCTATTTTAAGTAAATTTGTTGGAAAAGTTCTTAAAAGTGATCACAGGAAACAGTTTTTATGAACAGACAGACAGACGGACTGAAGGACACTCTAAAGTTAATATTTAAAACATCCCTGTTACCAAAATATAACATATTAAAAGCAAAATTCTTAAACAGGAGATAACTCTTGAATTAAAGATGCAATATAACATATTAAAAGCAAAATTCTTAAACAGGAGATAACTCTTGAATTAAAGATGCAATTTCATAAAAAATTTCAGCTCTTTTTGACTAATCACAAATATTGTTATATTTGCCATGTTTTAAGCTTATTTGTTGCCAAGGCAACTGATATTTTTTCAAAATAGGAAGAACAGATAAGACATGCATAATCTCAAGACTGCCATCTACCCATATTTTAAGTTTCATAAAAATATTTCCAGTACTTTTTGAGTTATCACTGGATTCAGTTTATGTGTAAAATTTGCCATATTTTCATTCTATGTGTTGCCATAGCAACTATAATTTTCAACATAGGAAGAAAAGAAAAAGACGTGCATAATCTCAAGACTGCCATCTACCCATATGTCAAGTTTCATAAAAATATTTCCAGTACTTTTTGCTTTATCACTGGATCCAGTTTATGTGTAAAATTTGCCATATTTTCAGCCTATTTGTTGCCATAGCAACCAGAATTTTCAACCTAGGAAGAAAAGAAAAAGACGTGCATAATCTCAAGACTGCCATCTACCCATATGTCAAGTTTCATAAAAATATTTCCAGTACTTTTTGCTTTATCACTGGATCCAGTTTATGTGTAAAATTTGCCATATTTTCAGTCTATTTGTTGCCATAGCAACAAGAAATTTCAACATAGGAAGAAAAGAAAAAGACGTGCATAATCTCCATACTGCCATCTATCCATATACCAAGTTTCATAAAAATATTTCCAGTTCTTTCAAGTTATTGCGGGATCCAGTTTATGTGTAAAATTTGCCATATTTTCAGCCTATTTGTTGCCATAGCAACCAGAAGTTTCAACATAGGAAGAAAAGAAAAGACGTGCATAATCTCCATACTGCCATCTATCCATATACCAAGTTTCATAAAAATATTTTCAGTACTTTTCAAGTTATCGCGGGATCCAGTTTTGTGGACGGACGGACAGACGGATGGACAGACGGACGGAGGGTAAACCTAAAGTCCCCTCCGGTAAACCGGTAGGGGACTAACAACGACTTGCCACTGACGGGATCTGAATCCATACAATCAGCAATCCATTTAAGTCGATAGTGGACACTGTGGAAACGGGATAAATTGCGATCAGAATATCACATGAGCAAATTGTACTCAGGAGTGGTAAAAATAAAAAACTTAGTAGTATGTTTTTGTTTTAAACTTTAATTACCGCTTTACAAAAAACGAAACATCTCTGCTATCAATTAATAGCATAATAACCTAAACATAAAAATTAAAAACAATGATGGCAAAAACTTTCAATACAATCATATGCACCATGTATTAACACAAACAATTCATTTTCATTTAAGAACTTGTTATGATAATCTTTAATATAAAGATATCTTTTTCTTCCTTGTTTCATGATCTATTATACAGTCAAAGAAGGCCAATATGGCTTCAAAATCACCCACTAAAGATCAGTTGCTAGCAAATCTTATAATTCTTCCATCATTTATCAATTTATAAGGTCAAATTATAGAGGGGTGATATAAGATCACAACCAGGATTATTCATTTAATGCTACAGATCCACTTGACAATGCAACACGCCAAATATCTAAGCTCTAGATCATTTTGTTTCACAACTGAAGACTTAAATATGTCTATGTAACAGAAATGATACGAAAGGCAGGATTAATTCTGATGCTAAATGCAACAGGTCTTAGCAGTGAGCACTGCAGATCTTAGCTATGAGCATTGTAGCTTCAAGGGAGACAAGTTTTGAATGCCTGTTTTCATAATATACAAGTCCTTGTAACTAACATGACAATAGAGTGGATTATTTTTACTCATTGGTCATTATTTATATAACTTAAGCAAAAGTGCACTAAGCAGTGCTAATGCAAAAAATCTAGACTAAACTTTCGAGCATTGTTGTTACTCGGAAGATTTTAAAAGGTTACATTTTCAAATCTATTTTTAGCTACTGTGACCTACTAATTCAGACTGCAGCAATTAATTTCACTTTTACCACTTACATGTAATGATTACTCCTGTGAAGTTTGGTCAAAATCTACAATGTCGTAAAGGAGATAATTGTTAACAAATTTTAGACAGCTCCCGGACATTATGCCATCACACAAAAGCTCACATATGAGCACTTCTTGCTCCAAGTGAGCTAAAAACAAGATGCCATGATGGTCCTAAAATGATCACCTGAGATCTACTGCAAGAAAAAGGTCACAAATCTTTGATGCAAAAATTAAGCAACTTGAATTATTTCTATGTGGAAGTTTAGATATAATGGTCCGTAAAAGTAAAAATCAACCTAATTTTCATACAATAACTATATATTCACTGATCATAGTTGAAATGTAACTCTGATACACAGAACATTATTTTCAATTCCGTTTCATGATTAAATTAAAATATTCAGTTTGATAACATAAAATTGTTTTATTTCATAAATGTACATGTTAATGCAATTTTTAAATGTGCCAGTGTACAGAATAGAAATGACAAGCTTTTCCGAATACTTACAATATTTTTTTTAACAACATAGTTTTCTTCTTATCAATCACTACTATGTGTAATAACCACCTTCTCCTCCCTCATTCTGGATAAAACATATAACCTACTAGATGCTCATTAAAAAAACCTTACCCTACTAAATATCTTAGATGGATTTGTCAATATTTCAATCTGGATGAAACCATTTATCATTTTTTTTGCAAAATTGTTTAGAATATGTAGTGACAGAATAGTATTGAGTACAGACCCTGATCATACAGCCTCATGTAAGAACATGCCCACTCATCTTTGTCTACATGGTTTACATAGGTAGATTTAGTTGCCACCAGGACCTGGTTGTTATCCAAAGGACAAAATATAACCAGCAGATAACGAATTCAACAGCTGGTTAACTCTAAACAATGTTTTGAACAACCGAATCCAGCAGGGTAAGGGTTAACTTAATTCTTATGTTATCCTAGTACACCAAATAGTATAAACAATAGAAGAAACAAACTTGAAATAAGGACCATAACATATTTAAGTGTTGTGCTTTAATATAATAACATGAATAAACAACAAGTTTGGTTATATTTAGCAACCACTCTGTTAAACATCAACATTTTGAGAAATGTTATACCCAACCCCCGCCCCCTCCACCACTCTGCCTCTCTCACTTCTAAGGCATTTAATTCAAACTTCACAGTGTATACATAAATGTATTTACACTGTAATTCTAATACAGTTAACTGTCAACTTAAAATGTTTCATCAATTTTAAAAAATTTTTCTTAAAATTTATCAAAACAAATAAATTTTGTCTTTTTAATTCAAAAAAAGTTAAAAAAAACATTTTAAAATATATATTTTGGGTTTTTGTCTGATTTTTCATGCACCTTTTTTGCTTTACAACAAACATTTTACTATCAATTTTAAATTTTTTATCCCCAGGGTTTTTTTGTCATTATTTCTTGGCCCTTGTTTTCCCTGGTCGGGATTAAACTTTGTCAGAGGTATCGTCAAGTTTAAACCTCGATATATAACCTTTTGACTCGCATAAATTCTTGGCAGCAACATGTAACGTTTCTAAAAATGCTGGTAAACCTAAAAATAAATATTTTAAACATAAGAAATAAAATATTTTCTTTTGCTTTATTGGGTTGTTTGTCGCACACACACAGTTTACTGGTGGAGGAAGACATCAGGTGCCCCTCTGTGCAAGATTTCAGGTACAAAAAAGCACCTGAGTAGAACCACCGACTTCCTGCAGGCAAGCTGGATAGCTTTCCAATGATTACCAAATTTCTATTGGCATGAAACAAATTCTGCTGCCAAGTTGAACAATTTATTCTTGCTGGTCAGACTGGCGTTTCAATTAATTTTATCCACGCTGGAAATTTCATCTGGCTTAGATGAGTTGCATGCAATGCAATGGCATGTTAAGGATGACATTATTTACATTATTTCTCCGTTATAAATGAAGTGTGTAATTTCATAAGCTGTTGTAATTAAATTGTTATGGCTGTAATGACATAAACTTCAATGGAAAATTGTTTAACTAAGGTAAAGAATTGAAAATATGATGGAGCATGGTTCGGATCGGAATATCTGTCAGTCGGGCACCCGCCAATTCTGATATGAACTGCATCATATGACAGATATTATTAAGTAAATTTTATAGACAATCATCCAAGGATGATTCTTGTATAGTTTCATCACTGTTGGCCTATAAGGGCTTATGAGTACATGTTGTTTTTAGTCAAATGTTGACAACGGACACATGATAATCATAATGGCTCATCTTGATCTTGGCATGTACTTGTATGTCCAACTCATGAAAACCAATAAGTCAAACGGATTCTACCACTTGTGAATGTGACCAACCTTTACAAAAGACCTTACAACAGACAAGTTTTATGTGGTAAAAATCATTATTAACTTGACTTTTGACCAAATGATTCCAAATCAATCAAGGGGTTATCTTGTCTTGACCAACATCCACACTTTTGACCTTGATCCAACATGCTTGTTATGCTCATATATTACACTGTATGTGACCTCAGACTTAAATAAATATTGTTTAAAGGCCCATAATGATTTTTATTTTTGTTTCTCAAAAGCTTTCTTATTTTGGTGTACTTTTATAGTATCCTTAAAGTTACTCATTGGCCAACAACCTGAACTATATTTTTCAACTGTTGCTGTTTGGCAATAAGTACAGTTAAAGTAAACTAGAACTATCACTAAATGTGATTAATACCCCCACAAGACTGCTTCGGAAATGAGGATGTTACTAGTAACAGAATACCTTGTAAAAGAATTGAAATATAGAGTTATGGTTGTTAGCAATTAAAGATAGTTGTGGTTCTTCTATGTTGCATTTCCTTTCAATGTGGTTGGCCATTGATGAAGTTTAATTGAATTACTCTGTAATAAGTCCAGAAAGACAAAGAAAAGGAACAAAGGGCAAAAACTCTATAAAGACTGAAGATAGAGTTATAGTTCTTGTGCACTGCACTTCCTCTTATTGTGCTTGAACATTGTATGAAGTTGTTTTGAATTCCAACCAGTACGTATTAAGTTATGCTCAGGACAAGGAAAAGTATCGAAGGGCAGTAACTCTGTATTTTGTCAAAATGGAGTTATGGCTCTTGTGCACTGTACTTCCTTTTAATGTCCTTGACAACTGTATGAAGTTGTACTGAATTCCAAACAGTAGTTTTCAAGTTATGCTCTGGACAAGGAAAAGTAACAAAGGGCAATAACTCTGTAATTAGTCAAGATGGAGTTATGGTTCTTGTGCACTGCACTTCCTCTCAATGTGCTTGACCATTGTATGAAGTTATATTGAATTCCAACCATTAGTCTTCAAGTTATGCTCCGGACAAAAAAGCAATGGAAAAGTAACAAAGGGCAATAACTCTGTAATTAGTCAAGATGGAGTTATGGTTCTTGTGCACTGCACTTCCCCTTATTGTGCTTGACCATTGTATGAAGTTGTTTTGAATTCCAACCAGTAGTTTTCAAGTCATGCTCTGGACAAGGAAAATTAACAAAGGGCAGTAACTCTATAATTAGTCAAGATGGAGTTATGGTTCTTGTGCACTGCACTTCCTCTCAATGTGCTTGAACATTGTATGAAGTAATATTGAATTCCAACCATTAGTCTTCAAGTTATGCTCCGGACAAAAAAGCAATGGAAAAGTAACAAAGGGCAATAACTCTGTAATTAGTCAAGATGGAGTTATGGTTCTTGTGCACTGCACTTCCCCTTATTGTGTTTGACAATTGTATGAAGTTATTTTGAATTCCAACCAGTAGTTTTCAAGTTATGCCCCGGACAAGGAAAAGTAACAAAGGGCAATAACTCTGTAATTAATCAAGATGGAGTTATGGTTCTTGTGCACTGCACTTCCTCTCAATGTGCTTGACCATTGTATGTAGTTATATTGAATTCCAACTATTAGTCTTCAAGTTATGGTCCGGACAAAAAAAAGCAATGGAAAAGTAACAAAGGGCAATAACTCTGTAATTACTTTAGATAGAGTTATGGTTCTTGTGCACTGCACTTCCCCTTATTGTAATTGACAATTGTATGAAATTGTTTTGAATTCCAACCAGTAGTTTTCAAGTTATGCCCCGGACAAGGAAAAGTAACAAAGGGCAATAACTCTGTAATTAGTCAAGATAGAGTTATGTTTCTTGTGCACTGCACTTCCTCTGAATGTGCTTGACCATTGTATGTAGTTATATTGAATTCCAACCATTAGTCTTCAAGTTATGCTCCAGACAAGGTAAATGCAACGGACAAAAAAAAAAGCAATGGAAAAGCAACAAAGGGCAATAACTCTGTAATTACTTTAGATAGAGTTATGGTTCTTGTGCACTGCACTTCCCCTTATTGTGTTTGACAATTGTATGAAGTTGTTTTGAATTCCAACCAGTAGTTTTCAAGTTATGCCCCGGACAAGGAAAAGTAACAAAGGGCAATAACTCTGTAATTAGTCAAGATAGAGTTATGGTTCTTGTGCACTGCACTTCCTCTCAATGTGCTTGACCATTGTGTGTAGTTATATTGAATTCCAAGCATTAGTCTTCAAGTTATGCTCCGGACAAGGAAAATGCAACGGACGTCTGGACCGACCGACCGACCGACCGCCCGACCGACCAACCGACCGACCGACCGACCACCGGGTGACTCCTATATACCCCCCCAAACTTCGTTTTTGGGGGTATAAAAAGTATTTTGTATGGAAGTCAAAATAGTAATTTGTTCTTCAGGATACACCTACTGTTTCAAAAACCATTATTTAATAATTACTCATTTGTTTACATTTTGCTTCTTTAATGACAAATTATTTCACATTTATCACTTCTTTCTTCAGGCAACAAGCATCTAATCTTTCAAAAACCATTATTTAACAATTACTAAATTCATGTTTGCCGTTTGCAAAGAAGTAAAATTTTACTCGTTTCTGAGGCATAATGAGCCTTTAAACTAAGTTATCAAATTGAAATAAAATGCAACTTACTTGACATGGTCATTCTGTTCACAGCCCAGGTTGGTACAGATAGATGTGGGTCATCATAATAAGACAAAACATAATCGAAGCCTTTGTCATCGAATGACGTATGTGGACGAATCATCATGTTAGACATGTAATCTCCAACTCGTATAAAGTCCTTCGTCACCGGGAATGATGGATGATCCACCGATTTAGCAGTTAACATCATAAAGTTGTTCTTCAAATCAATCTGTAACATAATGATAACATTAAAATTCCTACCTGATAAGGTAGCACAAAAAATATTGTTATATCATTCTGCGATTTTTTTACCCTTTTTTCTTCATCTATTTAAGCTTGCATGCGACGCATAGACCACATTTATGTTTCTCACTCAATAGTGGTTCATGTGTTGCATGGACTGAACTTTTATATCTTAGTTCAAGCATTGTATGAACTATCTTTCTAACTGAATTCAGTCCGTGCATGTACATTTATAGACATACTACCTCTAAAGATAGTCCCTGCTTTTATAAATTTAGATCCTATTCATGATCTATTTATACATTCCTAGATTAAAATATGTTATGTTTAACTGAAAAGCAAGATTTTAGATCTGAAGTAAAATTCTAATTTCACACATCTCATGATCTGACTGTTTTTAATACTAAGTTGTTTTGAATTTTTTAAGTTATTATTAAAAATTTTTACCTTTGAACGTCTAACATACACATAGTCTCTGTTGTACAGAAAACCAAGCTGTAATAGCAAAATAAATATTCATTTTATTCATGTTAATCAATAAATCTATTTGTATATACCCCCAACCATAAATGTCATTTGTTTGTTTTTCTGGTTTTTACACTGAGCATTTTAGGTATTACTAATACTACTGGTCTGAAGACTGCTTTCAGACTTAGGATTTTCTATGAAACGCAGCTCTGCTGTACAAACTGTCTTAATATAACTTCATTTATTTAAACATCCCTTACATTTCGACTCTGATTCTGCTGGTGGAAACAGATTCTACTCAAGCTACAAGTGCAGACCGTCACCAAGATCATGAATCATGGATTGATCTGCACTGCTCCTTATTCAGTCAGTACATACATGTACAAATGTATTTCAGAATTGTCCCTAAAAATGATGAATGATTCTGTTCAGTTTCAAAGATGGTCAAGTCCATTTAAGATATTTAGGATTGAAATGGATAAGAACTGCTTTAAAGATAATCAATATATTATAAAGTATTATTGAATAAGTGTCTATTCTAGGATTTGAAAAACAAGGGGGATTTTTATCGAAAAGTTATAATTTATTACATTTGTTGATCTTTTTCCTTCTTTCTCTATGTAAAATTTCTCAAAAATATGGGTGAATCTGCCCATCCCCCTTCTAGAATAGACACTGTTATTGTTGATTAAATCAGTAAAAGCAATAATTAGAGAAAAATGCAGTTTTAATTTAAAGAGGCTGAATCATGTTTTAACATATAAAATATGCTCCTGATGTTACTTACATTAAATATTATAACAGGACATTTCCTGAATAATATAACCAGTATTTACACCTTCAGGGTAAATAACTACTTTAAATCACACTATGACAATAAGGAAGCTATTACTGCCCCTGGGATACATTACTACATGTGTATATGATCATTTCTAAAGGTTTTTATCAGAAATACACTGAATTTAATTTTGAATCCTATTTGCACTTACGAAAGTTACGTAAAATATTGTTGAAACTTCATGATTTTTTGCGTTGGAATCTGGGACAAAAATGTATTCTCATCTAATCTTTGGTTATTTTTATGTAACGGTATTACCTCAATTCTTATCAATCTGCATTAGGTTTTTTTTTAAGATTGTGTATGTTGTGATCAAAATCATTTACCACACTAGGTGAAATTATATACATGTATATGTACATGATTATGCAAATAAAACAATTTTCAAATGTAAAATATGTACTGCAAATATTTGTGCATAATATATGTTATCATTAAAATATATCATTTATGCATTCATTTCTTATTGTAAAATTTGACTTCAACTTTATAGAAAATAATTTTTTTATTACCTCCCTTTATTTACATGAAATGTTAAATTCTGTAATAGCTTTATAATAATGATTTTTGGAACTTACAATATTGATAAATCTTAATTAGAGCATCATATTTATGATTTAAAACCATACAAAATTGTGTAACAGGATTTGACTTATGTTTTGTGTATTTCTTTTTATAAATTATGTGTTATTAAACTGTTTCTTATTCTAAGTAACATGTAATTCCATCGCCTTTGAACAAAAATCCCAATTAATGAATGGAATGGTTTAGCCATAACTCCATTTTTGTTGATTTAATTTTAAACCATAAATATACATTTCTAGTTTTCTTTCCATTGTGGTGGATTGAAACACTCTTAATATCCATTCCTGGAACCAACTAGTAAGAAGCATGAATGTAATGTTTCTCGCTCATGATAACAATGGCTTGCCTGTACGTCCAGCTGGCAGCAGTCCTTTGATTACTAGTTCAACGTGTACAATGTAAACAACTTGGCCATGTCGCCACAGACACTTTAAAAGGTTATATGGTGATTTTTAAGATTTACTTGTTGAGAAAGATCTCAACTGTCCCTTTGTGCATTATTTCAGACACAGACGTACACAAAGTAGAACCAACAACGTTCTGACCAACAATGTTTTGAAAGATGGATTGTTCATATGAAAGAAAAAATGTACCAAAATTAGTGAGGGGCAAATGGTGCGAAGCCAACAAATGGTACTCCAGTTATCGAGCCAAAAGTTGTCCACTATAAAAGTTCAAACAAAACCATGTATGAATGATTTAAAATAAAAATATGGTATTCAAACTCTTACTGGAAATTGCGTCGCCCAGTATATGACCTCTGACCCCGTTTGTTCATCTTGTTCCACCTTTTCTAGCCTCATCACATGACTGTCCCATGTCTTCCTGTATTCTAAGTCCATCTACAGTAAAAAAAAAGATCTCAATAACATACTGAAAATTTTTACACCAGGTTCCTGAAAATGTATTAATTTTAAGTATTTTTCATAGGCAGAATGAGATATATACTGTAACCCAACGAATATTCGCGACCAATTAATATTCACTTTATTCGCGAATGGCCACGAAGCGCGAATAAGTCCGCACGATTTCGCTTATAAATTGGAGAGAAATTTTTATTTTAGACAGTGTTCATGCAAATGTACTTGACTGGATATATTCAAATTTTACGGGTACCTGTTAGGAAGTAATGAATTGTTATGAATATTGCAATAAAGCAATAAAAACACAAACTAAGTAAACTACTACTATTTTTGTAAATATCAAAAGACCTCTATGTCTATATAGCAATCAAATTAAACATCCACATTTTAATACAGTTTATGAAATACTAGTAGGGCTATTGTCAATCACATTCCGTATAGGGTACTATACGGAGCATGTGTCAGTTAAAAGTTTCTTCATATTTACACTTCTATACTAAGTATATGCATACAAAATACTCGCACTTATTTTAGAAGTCCAGCTTTTTGCCAGCCGAGCTGGAAGAGCTCTGAATTGTCTTTTACAGAGTCAAAGGCATTCATTAGCCACTGTGCAATTTTCCAATCCGCGAATTTTTTTTTTTGAAATCAAGATAACACGGAAATTAATATTTGTGAATATGTCCGACCTTGGCAAAACACGAAAATTTGTATTCGCGAATATAAATTGGGGTACAGTATGTTGTATCAGAACAAACAGTTTGTTTACAAAAAGGGTGTGCAAAATTATCATTATGCCATAATCATTCAATGAAAGCATTAGTGCTTAACAAAATGAGTAATGAATAAATTATTTTCTTACTATACCCAGTGTCAATTATTGGCAGTTTTCAAGTTTGAGTTACCATACTTGTAGGAATACAGTCGCATTGGTGGTGGTGGTGTTGGTAGTTTCCACTCTGGATCATGGCAGTAAGCCATATTAAATTTACAAGAGCACATTACAGCCATCTCAGTGTTCCTGGGCAGGCTGTCAAGCAGTTTACAAACTTGTACTAGTTGCCTTCACAGTCACGTTGGCAAGGAACTGATTACTTTTTTACATGCTAGAGCAGACGTACAGTGCAAATGACCCTAGAATGGATTTCATGATCAATACATCGAAAGTGACCTGCGCCGTCCGGGAATCGAAACCCGGGTCACCTGATTCACTGTCCAGCACTCTACCTTTTGAGAAACAGGATGGTTTACAGTCACATTGGCATTATGTCCTATAGGTATCTTATACAAGCTGTTTTAGCAAATCCTTAACTCACCTGACCAAGGCCTCTCCTATAATTACTGACAGTTTTCAAGTTTGTTTTACTGATAACTTGTAGAAATATAGCCATGTTGGACAGGTACATGTATGCACTTTATACTAGCACAATTACCTATTATTGTCAAGCATTGGACAAGCAGCATTACAAAGCATCTTAAACTGGCAGAATTTTTGTCAAGCACTAACAAGTACAATTAAGATTGATGTCATTCAAAACTGAACAATTCTCAACTATCAATCTATTAATTCTAACATTAAATCATGAGTTACCCACTGACCTGTATATTGAAAAATGCTCTAGCAGGAATGTCCTTGTAACTTCCAAATACTGAAAATATCAAATAAATATTCAAAATATTAATTGTATCATAGTTCGGAGACATTTCTGTTGAAAATGTGTCGGGGTTAAATCGTATACATATACATGCACAGTGCGTTAACTGGAGTGCGGGTATTAGTTACCCGCACTCCAGAGCATACCCATTGATTGGCTCATTTTTGCTGGGGTTTACATATTGTGACGGCAGAGAAAGGGAAAGCGACAGAAATGTCATATTCAGATGTTCGTTCATTGGTTCATTTTTGCCGGGGTTTCATATTGTGACAACAGGGAACGTGCTTTTATGTTTGACTATGATACAAAAGAGAAAGAACACCAAAACACTCGGCAATCTGATTTATACTCGGGGGCTACGCCCCCTCGTACAAATCAGATAGCCTCGTGTTTCGGTGCTCTTTCTATTACTAAAACAGTTAATAAGAAGGAAATAAACTGAAGTGAACAAATATATACTAGACTTAATCATAAGTTAATTATATTATCACTATATCTTGGCAGAGAAGAAAGACTTTCACAAGTCAGTGAACAAAATTTTCTCAATTACTCGACATGATTTTAGAGAAACTCTCTTTCAAGGGCAGATAACTCAAAAGTAGACTTTGTTTCAATTATGACTCACTTAACTCATGCAAAGTTTTAAAGTTTTGTTCGCTAGGTAATTTTTTCCTTCTTTTGCGTTATGTAACACAACAAAATCTTCACAGTTGTATCATAACATCAGATGATGTCTTGTTATGCTATAAAAATATATCCACTTATTAAGACTAAGAGGTAATGTCCAGAAATAAAATTGTCGTCCTTGATAACAAACCTTTATATTTATATAATGAGCTTCCTTGTACAGGGCACCTCCACAGTTTGAAGTGATCTTCATCCAGGATTTTCTCCCAGGTCTCTCCTTGTTTATCATGGTAGTCTGTGGTTTTTAGGTCAAAGAATACTTTCAGTTCATCAGCAACTCTGAAAAATACAAAGAAGAAACATTTATTCTGACTTCAGATCAGTTCACTGCGGTATACCGTACCCCGGATATTGCTCGATATTATGAGGACTTTCATCCCATTTCGCGACTTTGAACGGGGAACGAAGGTAAGTTCAGCGACGATATTTTCAAAACTAATGGCTATTTCATTTATCTAAATGAGTTTTATATATCTAGAGGTATTTTTGTAGCTCTAAAAGACGTAACAGTATTACAGGTATTTTTAAAATTGATTAAACTATCCCAAAACGATCCGCTGCTCACTAGAAAATACTGACCGCGATACTGTAGAATCGTTAGAAATTATTATATTACCAATATAAAAAAAATTGAATCGAGCAATTTTTTAATTCACAATCCAAGTATGCCTTGTCCAAATTTCAGGCAAAAAGTGTGAAAGTTCAAAAAGATACAGGCCAAAAAAGATACAAGAAAGTGTACCGAGTATTGATTTTCAGTGTACAGAGTATTTCAAAATAGCCCAACTTTAGTGTACAGAGTATTGCAAAACAGAATGAGCACATTAGTATGGAAACTCGATATTTTTGTCTAATTTTCAAGTCTGTTTATCGATTCAATTTCATTTGTCTGATAATGTACTGTTTATATAATATTTATTCAAATATTTCAGATTCAACAGTGCATTTTCAGTGTTATTACTGTTCTTTTCCTAAAGCAAATACACAGAGATTTAATTTCCAATTTGGTTGAAATTCACACTATGGATGAAATAAAGTGTGTGCAGGGTCGGAAGCAGGGTAGAACCATCAAAATTGACGATAAAAAACTTTAAATACAATGTACATGTCTCAAGAAACTTTGATCAAGGAGACCCATCTCTGACAAGAATAAAAAAAAATATTTAGATGACATTAATAATAGGTTTTTACAGGGCAAGTTTACCTTAAGAAACTTATCAACGCACTTAATAAAATATTGGCCCGGAGGGTTTATGCCGTCCTAGCATGCCGGTATCGTCTAACCTTTTACTGCATGAGTATAATGCGAAAAATGAATGTTTTCATTTAATTATAATTAAGCCTCTCAAGTTCAAACTGCTATGAAACTACAAAAATGCTTCAATACTGATCAAACTGGGCACACGTGTTAGCTGGACCATAGCCTGTGGAATAGCATGCTCAATTTTATTTAAATCGACCTGAGGCCATTTAGCCCCCCACAAGTCCCAAGTCTTCTCGGCGATTAGAGGGGCTACTGCCCCACTTCAAACCCCCAAAGAGAAGGGGGCACATCCCCCCTGCGTAACCCCCTTGATGTACCTTTTTAATGGGGTGGCGCCAAAAAAGTGATCACTCTTTTGAACAACATTTCTCAAACGAAAAAAAACGTGTTTGGGGCCTAAATAGCGCATGTTTTACACTATTTGAGGCCTCAAAAGGGGTGGGGGTATGTAAAGCCTTCAAAACAAACCCTTTATGAGGTAAAAGGCTATAAGGAACATAACCTTTTTATTGCATCTGCTGCCCTTTATCATAATCTTATCAAAATCTATTATTCGTTTTTTTTAGCTGTACCCGCTCGGCAGTCATACGGTAACTCATTGCTAATGTCGTTACAAAATTTCACGTGCAGACGGTCTGCCGTTGCTAGAGTGCAGGTACAAAATGCCTGAAAGTTACCTTTATATGTATTTTTGGCATAGTAGGATTTCGGTTGTTATTAGATACACTTGCTCAATACCGTCTAATATTGACAATCTTGAGGCAGTAATAATGCACTTTGGATGCATTTTTTACTATTTAAAGTAAGATATGCAATAATTATTAACAAATTCTGGAAAGGTTGATCCTTCGATAGCAACGAGAACAGTTTTAACACAGAAAATTGCTGAGTCCGTTCGGCTGAGATTTTTCACGAGCAGGAATGAAAATCTGGAATATTCGCAGATGTTTCCAGTAAAATACCTCATAATTCTGCATATTCTGCACATATAGTGTAAATAAGTATACACAGTAAGAAAAATTTAAAATTAAATGTGGTAAATACTTTGTGTTTACTACTTGCATTTACTCTTTATTGATAACCAATACTCGTTACACTAAAAAGCAATACTCGTGACACCGGCGGCAAACTCCAACGCAATACTCGGTACACTGACATGTGTATTTATTCTCAAAATGCACTGTCATCTGAGGTTCTATTGTTGATTGAACATTTACAACATAAACATTATCATCATTATCACATTTCACTCGATTCAAGTTTTTCGTTTTAAGGAAGTATATGCACAAAAACATCAAATGACTGATCCGAGCTCATTTATCACGTGAGCAAAGAGACGAATTTTACCTCCTAAAATTACATTTCAAAGCTATTTCTCAACATTTTTGGGGTTTCAGTAACTAGAGAAATTATCGAAGTATTTGTTTTTCTACAAAATTTATATCAAACCAATTCCAAAATGACTAATTATCGTCACTAAACATACCTTCTTTCCTCGTTCAAAGTCGCGAAATGGGATGAAAGTCCTCATAATATCGAGCAATATCCGGGGTACGGTATACCGCAGTACAGTTGAGACTGTAAAAAATGAACCTTTCCAGTGTTTACAGGTTTAAGTAAATTGCCTGACTGGTAATTCAATTGCTGCAGCACTTAAAATTTTTACAAAGTCACTGCTTCACCTGTTAACACTTTTGGTTTTGTTTGCTTTTATATTTTTGTGAGCAGTTAACAACGCAAAGAATAGAAAAGGTTAATTTTTCAAGCAAAATATGGTTTTGACTCATTTGCCCAATTTACCCAACTGTCCTGAAGCATTTCTTGACATGCCCATATGTTATTTATAAAGTAAATTCTGGGGAATATTCACTTGTCCACAGGGCCAGCAAAATCTGATTTTGACTTGATTGTCCGTTTTCATGTGAAGCATTTTTGAACTTGTCCGTATGATATTTACATAGATCTAGTTAAATTTTGAAAATTTCCACTTGTCCGTACAGGCTGTGGGACAAGCTGGGCAATACATAGTCCAATATATTAGACGTTACAGGCTTGTTATAGTTTATGTCGGTCAAGTCAATAGTTATTGCTCAAAAACACATAGCATCATAAAAAAATGTCTACTGTCTTGCCTTTCAAGCTTTATTTAAAAGCTTATCTTCTTTTCTTCCATACACCCATAAACACTTTCAATATGATCTACCTAAGTAACCGAGGTATATTATAGAGTGAAAAAATACGAGTTGCTTCCCTTATCTTCGAGTAAAATCGATATCGCTTATGCTAAAACAATACAAAATAAGCTGTTTTTAAACCGCTAGTTTGTTGTGATTAAATGTCCGATTTTAAAATGTATTACACCAATAGAAAGCTTTGGATCTTAGCTTCATCACAGTATAAAATTCAACACATCTTTGGACTTCAAAGTATTTTAATTAACTGTTAAACCTACCATATGTCAGACCATTTTACATAGGATTTTTTACAGTGAGATAGTCGCAATCCGTTATCTTTACTCGAAACTCTACTGATATGAATAGCCTGTCGTCTGCTAGTTCTGAAAGTGTTTATCGGTGTATTTCATTTTCAATAATACACAAAAACTCTCAAACAATATACTTATCAATTTAAAATAAAATATAAACATCAATCTATTTTTGTCTATCAGCCATACTGGTTAAGCAAGCTGCTTTACAGATTGATTCCAAATTTTTGAACGGAAAAATATATTCGAACACACTGACTGACCGTGCATGGGCAATTGTTTCGTTAAAAAAATATTCCGTTACATTGTTCTGACTCATTAAACGCTTGCATTTGAATTAACCAAACAGATTTCGCGCACTGTATGGCCGCCATTTGTTAATCGGCTGTAAAAGGATTTTAAATACATGAGAGGATTTAATCATGATTTTTCGGATGTGACATTTCAATTATTTTGACAAAAGGTATTTATTTTTTAGTTTTGTTCATAAATAGGTCAAAACTAATGTAATACACACTGTTTTAATTGTTTTTCGTTCCGCCTGATTCTCTGACGGATATGCTAGGAGTTTTTGAGCAATTTCGATGTGACGTTGCTTTGCCCGGAAGCAAAAATATCTCAAAGCGACGTCATATTTATAGGACTAGGCAATACAGACACTTAATTTTGCCGGCCCTGGTCCATATTGGCTTAGGGACAACCTAGGCAGTATACGGACCATTGATTTTGCAGCCCCCGACTTCTTTTCTTCATAAGAAGATGATTAGTGAAACGGCTTACAGACAACTCACCCCCCCTAGACAATTCTGGGTTTCAGCCTCTAGTTTCCTTACCTATTAAGATCAGGGTCTGATACTCTGTTCTCTTTCCAGTCAAAGAAAGCTGCCCCCAAAAGGAAAAACATTTTCCCCTTTGGATTGTTTCTGATCAGGTCTCCCAGTTTCTTGAAAAATTGCACTGGTGAAGATCTTCCATATAAACTATGATAAAGTTTCAAAATCTGACCCGACCGCCGGACTCTGTGAGCTGCTATCACGTTGCACTGTAGGCCAATGCTCCTTACGCAAGTAAGTTTGTCATTGAAAAATCGGACACACGATTTCGTCCATACCCCACCCGTTGCAGCGCTTTTCAATTTTTCAAAAAGCTGCTGCCTCGACCGCTGAGACGAACTATTTAAAATCCTGTGTAAAGTCACTTTAAAATTCGACATATTGTTTGTTTCCCTAGAATTAAAGTTTTATATAACCTTGCGTCCAGTTGTCAAACACGTTCGCGTGCTCGATAGGAAGTTGACCCTTGGTTCCGAGTAAAGGTCATTCGGGAACCAACCTATGAACGGAAACAGTTCGTACTACTCATAATTCGACCCACTCTGGTTGGTACACTGCTGAAATCGGTAAATTAACCGGAATCAACTTTTCTTTACGGGGATTAACACATAAACACATAAAATCAAAATTCAACAATTTATATGATATTTTGGTAATGTGAGTTGTATTAGGCTCACATGGAAAATCTTATAGTTTATAACATTATTGTTTTATGATTTTTGTGGGTGTATGTTTCTATATATATATTGTTTAGAAGGCCACATTTAAGATTAAGATGATTGATTGATTTTCTTTAGACCGGGCGGTCAAGGATAACCTACGAAAGTGCAAGCACTTATTTCCAGTAGGGTCCTTATCTCACCAGACTCTAGAGACAGCTATGAGATACAAGGGAGTCCGGGAACCAGTCCCTAGCTCTTATTGAAAAGACCCCTTGGTTCTTTTACATGCCCAGTGTATAGCACTGATACATGCGAGGGTTACCTGGGTTTCTTACCAGTTAACCTCTAGGTAGGTGGGAACCACTGAAAGTGTCTCTGAAAAATCCTAAGGGTGTTACCCAGGATCGAACCCGGAACCTCTGGAGTGACAGTCAGTGGTCTAACCAACTGAGCTATCTTCACGTGTTACCTTCTTTAAATCAGGATTATTATTATTATTATTATTATTATTATTATTATTATTATTATTATTATTATTATTATTATTATCCTCATCATCATCATCTTCATCTTCATCATCACCAGACACTTACAATACAGAATTCAAGTCTCTGTAACATTACTGATATCAAGCGGACATGGTCAAGGCAAATTTCAATTGAAAATGTAAAAAAAAAGAAAGAAAAAAAAAGAAAAAAGAAGAAAAGAAAGAAGAAGATAAAATGGAAAAAGGAAAAACTTATATGCTTGTATACGCATTTAAGTTAAATATTCGTTTCGATACAGTGTGAGAAATATATTCAAAATGTGATGTTCTCTTATGTATTAGAAATGATGTACATGTACATGTAAGCATTGGGCCTCATATGTAATAAAAGTCCTCTGATACACGATCATCAGTCGCCAGTGACTTGGGTACGTGTTTGCCATAGACCGGTAGTCTTGAAATATCATATAAATGTCCCCACAAGAAAATAAGAAGTGCAGTGATTTTCCAGCTTATATAACAGACTCCGAAAAGACCTCTTCCCAATTGAAATTTTCTTCAAAATCATTTAGTTTTCCCAAAAAAAATCTGAATTTTAACCTGGTATTTTACTTCCCAAATTAGCAATTTTAGCGATGTTTTTTCCCAAAAATTCCCCAAGATGCTAAGGCCACTGCTCAATTAAGTGAGAAAAATCACTGAAGTGTGCATGAATCGTAATGCAATTAAAATTCAGTTTACAATTTCATTACATTGTGCAATTTATAATTGGCTGAGTAGCCGAGTGGTTAACGCGTCGGACTAGTAATATAAGGATTGCTGACCGTCTGGGTTAGGGTTAGAACCCTGTCAGGGGCAAGCCGTTGTTTCCTTGTTCATTGCGTAGTACAATCGAACTATTAAAATAAATTAGTATTAACTAAACAAACAAAATATGTACAAAGGACAAGGCATTAACAACAAGCTTAAGAGTTTAACTTAAAACAAGTCCTTAAATGGACAAACTAGTAAAAAATAATACTATGTTAAAATAGTATGTACATGATATGTATATTATTCTGTTTGCATGTTTCACGATTTACAACCCGTGATCTTTAAAGCGTCCATTGACTTCTTAATAGCAACGACTTCTTTATAGCAACCAGTGCCTCTTATTGCAAAAATGTGCTTCCCTAGGCAACGAATGATTTCCATAGCAACAATTGATTTCCCATAGCAACCAGAGCCATTCTTAACTTTCAGATGTAGATTTACCTGTATAGGCCTAAGGGAGACAACTCCGAGTAAAACCGAACGCAGGACTTAACAGAGTTATACATTCAAATTTTGGTATCATAGCTTATCTAAAATTGCTGGTATTGGACACAAGAAAATGTATTTCTTTTTTACTTGGTATTTTTTTCTACTTTTTTATGTATAGGTGAAAAGTACAATAAGACACCCATTTTCCTTTTTGAAAGCCAAACTGTGTTAGTGCCAATTTATTATACAAAAATGTATTGTGAATATAGTTTGAGATTATGTTTATTTGTTTATTCCTTTGTAGTTTTGGCCATTATTTACGACTCACTTTTATAAATACTTAAAGCTGCACGCCTCCAGATGAGCCATAATATTTCAAGAAAACGAAAACAATAAAGATCAATGTTAAAGTTTACATGTTATTTGCGATGTAAGACTGATTTTGCAGTATTTTATCCCCATATTTCTACTGCGTTACTAACGCAATAAGGGCTTTTTACACATTTTGACCACTTTTTGGTTATTTGCATGGATTGTAAGTGCCATTTGCAATATGTAAATAACTTTATTTGTTCACCGCGCAATATTTTACTGTCAAAATACATTATCAAAATTTTCATGAAATTGAACATGAATCTGGAGGCGTGCTGCTTTAAATATGATTTAGATATTAGCTTCTCTTTTGTACCTATATTTTAAAATTTTCAAAAACTTACGCGGATTTGAGAATACTAATTTTATTGTTTAAAGTAGCTGATTCTAACTTTGCGCCGCATGTAGTTCTCGACGAATATGTGTATAATATTATGCTATCTTCTCACATTCTATTTTTCCATTATGGAAAGGGCAACCATTAGTACTATAACATTTAAATAATGGTTTGAAAGAATATTAGGTGTTTACTCATGGAAGAAAGTAGCGCTGAATATGAAATAATATGTCATTAAGTTAGCAAAATGTCAACAAAGTGAATTATTTTGACTTATATACAAAGGATAAGTATACATACGTACTGAATCACATTTACTATAACTAAACTAATTGCCATAGAGCAACAGAAGCAAAAGATGGTTCGGGGAAAATGGCCATAACAGGACATCAAAAACTAAAAAGTTTTTTTGAGAAAATAAAATAAAAAGCATTTCTATGGCATAATGGGCCTTTAAAAACGACTTCGAATAGGTCCCGCTACTTATCAATAGTTTATCAATTTTTCGTGTAAGTAGCCAAACCACATGCAATAAAGGCGTTAAACATCATATTTATTATTATAATGGCACATTTATTAGAGGTTTTATGTAACATGTTGAAATAATAATAATGACTTAATTATCTCAGTAGTATTTAAATCGTGCTAATTTTGACATATCTCGCGTTATTTCTGTCTTATCCGGTCTAAAGAAGATACGCTGTCATTATCATGGTATGGCAGAGCAAAATGATAAGTGAATACAGAATTTAAATAAAATCTTCATTCTTAATGTGAAAACTTAGACACTTTAACCTGATTAAAACTATCCCCAATTGTTGTAAAAGTAAAACAGGTGCGGGTCTATTTTTTAATACATTTTGACAAGGGAATATGCGTATTTCAGAGATGGTTTCACTACTATAGTTTCACATTTTACTAGGTTTACAGTGGGGTCATGAGTCCATTTATTGCGTGATTTTCGCAAAGAATACATTGTATCAAAATATACAAGTAAAATTATATTTCAGGAATATTCTACAACAAAATACCCAACCCCAAGGAAAGAGAGGCCATCAACCCCCAGCCCCCACCCTTTCGCACCGCGCATGTAAAGTGACGGAAAATCGTATGTAAGACAAAGTTACGAAGTCTATAATTTCGAGTTATGTTACTTGATGCAATAATTAACGAGATCCAGTAGATGTTAATGTAGTCATTCAAAGAAACAAACAAATTAAAGATTGTAAATGATTGTTCTAAACTTAAAATATATAGATCTGTTAAGCATTGTCTTGTCTCAAATATTGTGATTCACGTTTGTATAGGGTTGATGAATGACAGACATTGTATGTATAACATCTCGTCTGCTGACGGATATTTGACAAGTGAATGCCGCATCTGACACGATGTAAGGGGACTATTGTATTACCAGTCTATGTTTCATCATTTGCGTGTATTGTCATGTTTTTTTGTTTGTTTTTGTTGTGTTTTATGATATAACCAAATAAAGAACCTTTAGCATTTACAGTGTCCCTTCCGTGTGGTATTTTGCGTCATTTGCAGATTTTCACCCCTATTGGAAGGACAGAAACTGCTGTACATATCTTATTTCTTTGTGTATACTAATTTATGTAAGTTAGACTGTGTTGGAAGCTATAAGCTTATTGAAACACACTCTGATCCGTTCCCGGAACCAGCCAGTACTTGCTCACAGAAACATTAGCTTGCACCTGACGGGGTCTGAACCAAGACGGCCAACAATTCTTAGATTACTAGTCCAAAGTGTTAACCACTCGGTCACGACGCCACTCAAATCGCATTTCTTCACCAGTTTTAATAGAATATAGCAAACACTTAGCTATGCCCTGACGATTCAGTATAGTGCTTAATGGAAAACTGTTTTCTACATATGATTATGTTGTAATGATTTCATAAAGTACTTCTTTGCGATGTAACAAACAAATTGTCACGACGTCCGTCCCTCAGTGAAATAAACGAATTCAATATCAAATTTTAGAACAAATAACTTGCAACAATACATAATTATTTGATGTTAATATTTTTAACAAAGTATGGTTATAGCCACTAATAGGTATGAAGTGAACGAATTAAAGACAATATTATTATTAAATAAATTGTAAGACTGTTTTGATTATACATTAAACTTGAATGTAATGTTGATAATTTGGTTGCATCTTAATCTGAAATATGAAGAATGCTCTGGACGGTAGGCAGATTGAACCTCAAGCTATTTGTAATTATCAAGATTCTATAATATTAATATAACGTACATCAAATACAACTGTATCAATGTCCCTTGATTCTATTACATAAATATACGGACATCAAATACAACTGAATCAATGTCCCTAGATTCTATTACATAAATATACGGACATCAAATACAACTGTATCAATGTCCATTGATTCTATTACATAAATATACGGACATTAAATACAACTGTATCAATGTCCCTTGATTCTATTACATAAATAAACGTAACAATGTCCCTTGATTGTATAATATTAATGTGAAGTACATCAAATACAACTGTAACAATGTCCCTAGATTGTATAATATTAATGTGAAGTACATAAAATACAACTGTATCAATGTCCCTAGATTGTATAATATTAATGTGAAGTACATCAAATACAACTGTATCAATGTCCCTAGATTGTATAATATTAATGTGAAGTACATCAAATACAACTGTATCAATGTCCCTAGATTGTATAATATTAATGTGAAGTACATCAAATACAACTGTATCAATGTCCCTAGATTGTATAATATTAATGTGAAGTACATCAAATAGAACTGTAACAATGTCCCTAGATTGTATAATATTAATGTGAAGTACATCAAATAGAACTGTAACAATGTCCCTAGATTGTATAATATTAATGTGAAGTACATTAAATAGAACTGTAACAATGTCCCTAGATTGTATAATATTAATGTGAAGTACATCAAATACAACTGTAACAATGTCCCTTGATTGTATAATATTAATGTGAAGTACATCAAATACAACTGTATCAATGTCCCTATATTCTCTAACATAAATATAACGTACACCAATACAATTGTATCAATATAGGTCCATTCGATAATATCAATCTAATATATATTAACTGCGATTAAATGGAAATATCTTCACATAAATAACTTTAACTGGCGTTATGTTTTTTCCATTTTTTCCATGTAACATATAATATTATATGATATAACACAATCAAACAAATTAAAGAAAAGAATAAAAAAAGTTATCAATGAAATATCACGAATATTTTTCTTCAATTTTTTATATTACATGTAGCTTGAAGCTTTGATAAAAACCTACAGTTATCAATATATTTAATTTTTAGTAACATTTGTTTTCAAATTACAAAATGGTAAGTTAGCAAAGATAAAAAACATATATATCCAGATGAAGTATAAAATATTTTTTTTAAGCAAACATTCTCTTTTACTTTTTGTTACCAGTACACAAAAACGGCACGGCTGTCAGGTGTATGCAAATGAAGGTAAAGTATGCATATAGTGTTCAGTGATGAAAGTTTAGTTACAGTTTACCATGGCTTTGACGTGAGTAATGGTGTAACGTCAGACAAGAAACTGTCATTACTTTTTTATATTATATATATTATACCTTTAACGGTAAAATTATATTAAAGAAGTAAAGGATTTTCCTCAAATAAAACGTAAGTATTCAGTTTATGTATTATGTTCTTTTTCCCATTTATTTGCCAAAATTTGCTAACCAAATTGTAATGTTTCTTTCCATAACCAAACGAATGTAAGAAAGATAGAAAACATCTGGTCGCCAGGATCCTTATTGCTCCTATATTTACGAGTATATATGAGCCGCGTCACGACAAAACCAACGCAATGCGTTTGCGACCAGCATGGATCCAGTCCAGCCTGTGCATCCACACAGTCTGACCAGGATCCATGCTGTTCGCTTACAAACCCTATTACAAGTAAAGAAAATGATAGCGAACAGCATGGATCCTGATCAGACTGCGCGGATGCGCAGGCTGGTCTGGATCCATGCTGGTCGCAAACGCATTACGTTGGTTTTGTCGTGACGCGGCTCATATATAAATTTTTATTCAATGTACTAGTAATCTTTAAAGAAAACACGAAAGTGCACGTTGTCGTTGTCGTCTTCGTCATTATCGTCATCATAATCATTTTTATTATTGAAATATTTAACGAAAAATTAGCAAGACAACCATAAGCGGAGACCCAATATCACCGTAAACATATGTCACGTGTTCACCCATCCTGATATATGAGAAAGTGATAATTAAAGTATATATTAGATACTTGCAGGTTTTGCAAAGTTACATTCACAACGAAAACTAAATGTATCAATTAGAATTGTTTCAAATAACACGGACTGTTGATTAAAGATAAACAATGCTTAAATTTGATATCTGAAAATACTGATTATTTCTACACGGTCCCTTTGTAAATATAAAATAAGTTTACATGTTTTGACTTCACGCGAAGTAGATATGTTTAGCTTTAAATCCTACACACCATAAGTGGACAAATTATGAATATAAAGTGTAATAAAACATTACCTGCTTTACTTGACCCGTAATAAGGAACTCGGATTCCCATACATAGTTTGTACGTTCTTTTATTTAAATAAGACATATTCATTAAAAGTTGTATAGATTTCTATCCTGTATTTATAGAAAAAAACTTGAATTTTCTGTTCATTATATACAGTTTTTCTTTGTTGACATTATAATTTGAAAGATCTTCTCTTAAATTTTGTGTACTGGTTAAATTTAGCAGAAAGTATATAATAAACATAATATATTTCCCTTCATTTTTACAATTATTGGAGTTCTATATATAAAATCATACATTGATTTAAATGTCCACAAATGTGATTCATAAATTTCGCAGAATTAGACAATTTATTTGACCGCTTTTTCGTCATCATGCCCGACCAAGGTGTACTCGTAAAAGTCGAAATAAATTTTGCCATGACTGGACTTTCTTTGCATGAATAAACTTCATGACTCTTAGATTCTTTTTTATATCTTTTAGAATGAATGATAACGTTAAGTTGGACAGTTTTTATTTTATTTTAGACAGTTCTAATGTTTTATTCTAAACTTTCGTCAATATAAGTTCAATCACTTTTTTAGCAGTCATTCTTTTTTAAATACATAAATGTATTGCTACTCCAGCGCAACTAAACAGCGAAACACGAAACTTAAATGGAGAATAAAGTGTTATTACTCTAAGATTAGTTCGCGTAGTAATTTATGTTTCATTGCGTAATGTGCGACATCCTTTAAACATTATAATGTACTAAACCCATTATCCACAAACCTGTTTCACAGCAAACCAAAGTATAAAAACTTTATTAGTGCATTATATATGAGTGAAACTCAGGTACATAAATTATGTGCTCTATAGACACGTTTTTAGGTCGTTAGACACCAACACTCAAGAGGACTGTGTCATCAAAGTGTTCGTTAAAGTGATTAAACTGTCCAAGATGTCAGACCTTTGCTTCATATTTGGTTTACCAAAAGTGAACGTTTTTGTCGTGTTGATAGGTGAATAATTATAACATTAATTTATTTAACATGAATAAGATTTTTTTCGCCGAATATGATTTTTCCCCTCAAATTATCACTCCTATAACTACATTGGTTTAAAGACCAGTGCTAAAACTATAAATCAATAAGCATTTTTAGTTCTAATATAATATTATAAGAAACGTACGGTATGGGGGTTATCTAAGTAACTAAAATAATAGTGTTCCAAATGGATTTCCCTGGCTAAAGCCTATTTCATTTTTTAAGTCATTTACGCCATTATTTAGACTATAAAACTTTCTCTAAAGAAATATGTTTCGTGACATATTTATATAAAAACAAGCTTTTTTATAACGAAAAAATTTTTCAATCCTTAAAATTATTGATATTTTATAAATTTTAAATAAGGCGGGGTTTGATAAAAAGGAAAAAAATTTTTTCCCGTTAAGGGGTCTTATAAAATTATTTATATCACTTTTAAAAAATTTTATAAAAGTTATCATGGATATCTACATAAATTTGTGAATCAAGTACCGACCAAATTTACAGTTTTATATGTTTTAACGCTTAGCCTGTTGGCGGTAGCATTATAGCATATTCTAACAATACGACCAGTGCATCAAACAGCAGATTCGCGCCTTCTTGTCAGCTGCACTGTTCGCTTTTTAGTTAATACATATTTTTAAATTTAGTTAAAACTAAGGTATTTCTCTCTTGCCACCTGAACTTTTTATGCTAATTTACACTGATAAATATGAATCTGGACTGATGAACTTAATTTATTTTGTCATACAAAGTAGAAAAAAGTATACTTGTCAATACTAGCATTGGGAACACTTACATTTACATTTATTGTAAAGCATAACAGAGAGTGTAAGCTTTGTATAATTAGTAACGAATGAATTTACTTGACATCTGGCAAAAATGTAAAGAGTATTTCCGTGATATCATTACTGTCACATAATAAATTTACTTGATTTTAGTCGACTTTTACTAACACAATTAAATGTGATAAACTGAGTCCACAAATTCCAGCATTTTATTTATTATTTATATAGTATACATACGTGTTTAATTTTTGTAGTGTAGGTTAGGCCGAAATATATTTGTGTATTCATACTATATTGTTAGAGGTACTGACGAAAAGGGCCTGAAGTTGCGGTTGCTAATATAAGAGAAGATGAAATGTTAGTTAATATAACAACAATTTGTTACCATTCATATAAACATGCAAACAATTGAATATTTTCTCCCTCATTAAAGCTAGCTTTAACTTCGTATTTAAGTAAAGACATAAAAGAAGTATTTGAAAACTATAAACTAGTAATTGAAATACATTTAATTATATTGTATGATTTTAGAATATCATAACAGAAAGCTTTGAAGCGAAAAAGAATTAAGTGGTCCGCTAGCTTGTTTTCTAGTTATCTGCTCTAAAATTTAAAAAAAAAAAGTTTGCATATCACAAAATGTTTAGATAAGAATTCTTACACGTCAACATTACTCTTCCTTAAACTATTATTCTACAAGAACTCACACCTATTTAATAAATTTACCAGATTGTATAGAAACAACTCTTCCAATTCACACATATGGTAATTGTAAGTTATTAGTTACCATGGCAATAGAAGTATATAAATCTAAATTCTCCGACACATTACAAGATTTAATGTATAATGAAATATAAACAACTTTATGACGTCAAATAAATGTCTCATTTATATTCTTTCAAACTTTCTCTTCCGACGCGTAAATCTAAAATGTTTACTTTGCAAAAATGATAAATGCGACAACCCTTTGCATGTGCATGACATTAAACTGGTAGTTAAAAGTAAGAATGAAAAACACTATGACAGTGTGGACTTGCGTAAAATTCCTCTTTTGGTGTATGAAATTGTTTTAAAGAGTCTCTTTAGTGAATTATTCAATTTTTATAGGTAGCTTTATAAGCAAAGCTGAGCAAAGATGTCTATTTCATTTAAAGTCAAAGATAAAACATAATACTATTGAGAATCTTTTTGTTAACTTAAAGCATTTTTTTTCTGTTTGACTTTACTTTCGAGAAACATTTGTGTATAATTTTGCATCGACCGTGCATTCATAACACTTTTGTATTAGTATTGAGCGTGATTGTTACACGATATCTGATTGTTTCAAGAAGAGCCTCTTCTGATACAAATATCTTATTGAAATTTTCGTTTGAAGTCTTTTATCTATATTTTTGCATAATAACACACTAACACTTAAAGTGGAAGCACGGCCGAGTGGTTAACGTGCCGGAATATTAATCTAATAATCGCCAGCCGCATAAACCCCGTCAGGGGCAAGTCTTTGTTTCCTTGAGCAAGAAACTTTACACTCATTTGGTTCCAGGAACGGATTCGAAAGTGTGTCTATAAACTTATAGCTTCCTACACAATCGAACTAGAACCCACACAACTAAATTACATTACTGTTATGTAATAAAAAACATCACAGTATTTACACTAATTATCGTTTTTTAAACCCTTAATTACTCTTGAAAATAGAAATAGAAATTGAAGTGTCTTTTTTTTTAATTTCAGATGAGGACTTTGCATTTTGTTTCGATAATGCTATTATTGCATAATGGAAAAGGTCAGGGCATGTTTGATTTTTTCGGATTTGGCGGGGGAATGGCCGACCCATATGGTGGAGCTATGGTAGATCCTTTTATGGGTGGTGGTGGTGGCATGGGTGGAGGCTTTGGGGCAGGACCATCAGCACCAATCGGACCCGACCCTTCGTTGCAGGACGCTCGTTTAACAATGGCTGAAGAACAAATGGCAGAGGTTATGGGTGAAAGTCCACAAAGTAGTCCAGAACGACAAAGAATAGATCGTCTTATTAAACAGACTGGTGGGCAGTTTATGGGAGATGCTGCTCCGCTGAATTACTTAGTACAAGAATATTTAATGACTACCCCAGGGCCAGTTCCCCCACCTGCACCACAACCAAGACAAAAAAGAAAACAAAGAAAAGTTAAACAACGACTAGGGAAAATGAGAAATAGAAATAGACAAGGTGGAGGGCAAAACAACATGAATGCGCCAAACATGAATATCAGGCCAACAGGCGCAAGTATGCAACCACCAGCACCAAAACCTACCCGACCTACTGGCCGAATGGGAAATCCAGCTCCCTACATACCACAAAGACCACAAGCACCTGTTAACCAGGCTATGAACCAGGGTCAAATGAATCAATTGCCACCAGCAAACACTAACATGTATCAAAATCAAGCACCTACAAACACAAACAACCGAGCTTTCAAAAGTCAACCTCAACCATATAATCAAGGTTTTCCAGCTCAACCTCCGACAAATAACAACCAAGCTTTCAAAAGTCAACCTCAACCATATAATCAAGGTTTTCCAGCTCAACCTCCGACAAATAACAACCAAGCTTTCAAAAGTCAACCTCAACCATATAATCAAGGTTTTCCAGCTCAACCTCCGACAAATAACAACCAAGCTTTCAAAAGTCAACCTCAACCATATAATCAAGGTTTTCCAGCTCAACCTCCAACAAATATGAACCAAGCTGCTCTAAAACCAACTCGGAAAGTCTTTCAAGGACATTCTTCAAATATACAAGCGCCACCTGCACATCAAAGACAACAAAACATGAATATTAACCAAGGCAATAATCATGCTCCTCAGGGGCAGCAGAACAACAATAACAAAGCTGGTACTTCTAAATCAACATTAGGTGTTGCAGCAAACAGACTTAAGCGAATTGAAGGGCGCATAAATTCCGTAAATAGTCAATTGATACAAGCTCGACAGATGAACAACATGGCGCAAATTGCTGATTTGCAATCACAGTTAGAAGCTCTTAATGGTGTTAAGCAAATTTTGACTGGTGGTTCTGCGAAATCAAACGAGATAAAAACTATTCGAGGAAGAGCAAACGCTAACACACAAGTCGCCCCTCCGCAAAATAAGTTACAACAAAATAGTGCTGGTCCGCAACAGATTTTAAGAACAAACGGACCGACGCAAGTTCCTTATGGTCCACCCAAAAATAACAATAATATGAATAATGTCAAAAGAAAACCGACCCAAGTTCCATACGGGCCACCGCATATTGGAAATAATCAAAATAATGTCAACAATAAACAAAGTCAAAAGTCTTTCGGGCCACCTCAGATCTCAGGTGTAAACAATAGAAACACACAGATTCAATTTGGACCACCTCCCATGAGAAGAAGTAACAGAAATAATTTCAATAATAACCCATCTAATACTAATAATTTTCAAGAGAGAAACGTAGGTGGAGGTAAGTTTGCACAAACATGGAGACATAAAGTTTCTGCGCCTGCTAAACCTCCCCAATCTATCCAGAATCCATACCCGACTGCAAACAATGGAAATGCGTATAATCAGGGAAATACAGGATTAAATAATAATCACCGAAAACCACCTGTAAATGTCAATATTCAACCGTATCAAAACACTGGCCCTGGAGCTGATCCTTATGCAACAAATAATGTAGCAAATATCCAAGCAACAGCACCTTATGATGCATATCCGTCAGCCTCTGCTCCGTACGATCAACGAATGAGCCAACAAGCAGCAACGTATGATCCTTACCCGTCTGCGCAAGCGCCGTATGACCCAGGCATGGGTCAACAAACTGCAGCGTATGATCCAGGCATGGGTCAACAAGCTGCAGCGTATGACCCAGGCATGGGTCAACAAGCTGCAGCGTATGACCCATATCCGTCTGTCCAACCTCCGTATGACCCCGGCATGAGTCAACAGACAGCAGCAGCCTATGATCCTTATCCGTCGGCTCAACCCCCGTATGACTCAGGCATGGGCCAACAAGCAGCACCATATAGTTCGCAAACATTATCTTATGACCCACACGCCCCTGCTTATCAGAGAGACAATTTACAACAGCCTATGCACGATCCGTATGCTCCTTTAGGTCCAGGTATTGGCCAACAAGGAATGTATGCAAACAATGCACCTGCACCGAATCGGCGGCAGCAACGTAGAAAACAAGGCCGAAGAAGGGGTGGGGCTAGAAGAGGCGGAGGTAGAAGAGCGGGGGCAAGAAGGGGTGGAGCCAATGCACCACTGGCAACGGATGCACCAATAGGAACAACGGTTGCTCCCCAATTGGGTGACACTAAATTAATTCGCGGTGTAGAACATATATATACAGATGCCGATGGATATGACACCTTTCAATGGATAAAGAAAAGTTTGATTCCAAAGAGTCAACTGGATCATCTGCCACAGGCTGGTCAAGAGCAGCAAGGTGGCCAGGCTGCACCAGCCGGTGAAGGAGCTGCACAACCTGCTTAATGGCATCATAGCTGTGGCTATTGTGGTTGTTATTATTATAAAAGAGATAGGGCATGGTATGGAAGTAAATTAATGTAAGTTTTCTTGTTTGGCATTGGATAAAAAGTTGTAAGGTAAAACCTACAGGATGTGTTCCAGACATGGTACTATTGTGGTAATATGATAAATATTTTATCGCACAATATACTCATCCATAAACGTTTTGACATCAGCTTCTTTCATATTTTGTGGTTTTCGAAAAGGTATTTTTAAGATAGACTTAAACATTTTTAAACCAGAAGCCTGTGTGAGGGTAAAATCTGCAATAATGCAAATACATAGGTTAGACAATCAACCTGGCTAATGTTGGTTTTTGAAAGATTCAAATTTAGCAATATCAAAATAAGTACGACAATTACTGACATGTTAGTTTGAGAGATAATGTACTGAATTTTTAAATTATTAGAAAATTTTGACAATCAGCTCTCTAAAAATAATTTCTCGAGTACTTTCGCAATATTACATTTTTCCATTCGTTGTCATTATATAATATGGTGTGTAATGATATATGTAACTTAATTGAAACAGTGAATCTTAAATGTATGTAATTTTGATTCATTTTTACATAAAAAAGACTTAAACTTGCATTTTAAAATTTTATTATTATTTATTAAACCTATACAGTATACTTAAAATAACAACAACTCAAAGCACCTCGTCACGTTTTTTGTGACTTACATATGTGTTTGGATATCTTTCATATGTTTTCGTTAAAGTTCACTTGTTGAAACTGCTTAAAAAGCTGTAAAATAATAAAAACAAAATCTGGAAACGACAATATTTAAAATGTTTCAGGCTCGATTTAGTTGAGTCTTTTCGTAAACGGCATCAAGCCTCTTTATGAATGGGTAATACTTCCACAAAAACGGTTATAGTTTGGAGGATGCGATAGTCAAGGTTCCCTGTTTTATAGACTCGTTTTCATTAATATTGTTATTGGGTCTTATCTACAATATCTGCAGCACCCTTTTACCAAAGAAGCTATTTTGGGCGGACTTATTTATGAATTTTATAAATTATATTTATAAACACTTTCAATCTCATCATTTGTTATAGATATTTTATTAAATTACATTTTGCAATCTAATTATTCTTTTAAATAAAGTTTTGTTTTTTTCAATCAAATCACTGTGTAAACGAAATAACTGACAGAAAAATTGGGCGTTGCCCTGGCAATTCATTCTGCACAGATACATTTCTGAATGAAAGCAGTAATTTAGTATTTTCTCGACATAAACATTTCCCCATATTTTGTATTTCATGTAGAATGTCTCATGGCTAAGCAGCCTGGTGTAAACGTTTTATTGAAATGGAATCTGTGTTCTGAAAGTGAATGAGATGTTACGAAAGACCCTATGCTGATAGTTTGTATCGCCATTATGATAAAGTTAATTAGGCAAAACATCACAACATATTGTAAGTGCGGGGGGGGGGGGGGAGATCTGGGGAGGGTATTTAAATTACAAAATATTTCGAATGTATATGAACATTCTGATGTCTGGATTTTAAAACTCATATTGTATATGTAAAATGGTAAAAGAGATGAACATGCACAAATGACTTGTTTCACAGATTATATATTGACATGTGGTGATTTAGATATATATTACTATAACTTGAAATAAAACTGAATAATGTCTTATTGTTTCTTTTCTTAGTATAGAAGTTTTCTTTATATTTTTTACAATATGTATTTGTTCAAAGAGTATACCGGTATACCGGTGCATTCAGAGGTTATTATACATTATTGAGTACAATAATTGGATGTGTTCACAAATATCAAAGCTATATTGAACGAGGCGCAAGCATTATGACGGCTGTGTTCACGTTCAATAAAATCAGTATTTAATTAATTAATTAATTAATTAATCTACCTCTAAAATAGAATCAGTATTAAATTAATTAATCAATTAATCTACCTCTAAGCCCAGAGTTATGAAAAAGATAACTGACATATACTAGTACCTACTTGTTCATCAAACATTCATCGTTTTCTTCAAACTTACAGACAGTTTACTAAACTATGGCGGCTGATTTGGTACGCGTTTGTGTGTCGCGTTGGCGCTAGCGACAACACGACAAAGCGCCAAACGGTCCTCTTGTCGTCCTGTCTCTAGCGCGGCACGCCAAACGGCACGTTGTAATACGGCGTGTTGTTGCGATGTCACATTGTCGCACGGTTCAAATTGAAGGATTGGCTTATAAGCCAAGTGACAGGGTGACATCTCGAAAACGCGCCGCACGACAACGCGCTGTTAGGCTTGCCGTGCTAGAGACAGGGCGACAGCGCGACAACGCGCCATTTGGCGCTTTGTCGTGTTGTCGCTGGCGCCAGCTAGACGCACAAAAGCGTACGAAATCAGCCACCATACTAAACACTCAACCCATGTTTATTCCGTCGTTATTTGACATTAAGGTAAATACACAAACAACTTTACGTACCGACGTCTGTCACATTATCATTTTTATTGTTTAAATGGTTGTTTTTGAGATCAACCACCTGGCTTGTTGAAAATAAATTAGCAATAAAGTTAAATTAAAACAAATAATGGAGATCGTTACATCAACCTTTGTTTATTAGTTTTTCTCATTAAAAATGTGTTAGAAAAAAAACAACAATAATGGTCTAAGTGGTAAAAAAGGCTGTTAATGTCGATAAAAAATGTTATTATAGACATAATGAAATGGCTTCCTCGTTTCCTGAAAAGCCTCATTATAGATCGGAAATGACATAAAGTGACGTCCCGTACAATAGAAAATGGTTTTGTTGCATATCAGATTTGATTTTTCCTTTTGTTTAACGTCAGCTTGAGACTTAATCTAGCATAATACGTTATTTTTGGCTCAATTTATGAATAAACTGCACGCTTCTGGTGACGACATTTAGCCGTCACGTATAAATCTTTACACTGCTAGTAAGGAAAACGAACAGAGCACAGTATGATGACCTTATAGCATTTAAGCCCACAAACATTCAATGGACCGAAGCCAAAGTCTGAAGTCCTTTCAATGTTTAGGGTTAACCGGGAGGTCACTATAAAGCTATGAGGTACGAATTACTGTGACCTATAACCGTCCTGTTAGCTCATTCCTTTAAATCGGGCGAACCCGGATAGATTCCCGGAAAATTGTGATTGGTCATGAAATCCTTTCTACCTCCACTCTAGATCTGGCATGTACAGAACTTATCAGTTCCTTGCGAAAGTGAAGGCAATTAGTACTGGTAAACAGCTCAACAGCGTGTTCAGGAATGATGCGGTTGTTAAACATCAAAGTGGCCTACTGCCGTCATCCGGAAAAAACTACCAACACCACCACAACTGTATGCTTTACCTCATTTACGATAACATAATGGTAGGGGTTCAACGGTAAAAATCATATTGTTCAAAAAGCAATATGTCTGGTAAAGCGCGTTTTGTAAACTCTTCTCCTAAATTTTAGCGATCCGATAAAAAAAGAAGATATTTCCCGCTCAAACGGTCGCCGCTGACATCATCGTGAATATTATACTACCTAAAGGCCAGATGACATTTATATAAATTAAGAAGATAGACATTTGTATAAGGTATATTAATATGGTTCAACGGTACTTATTTGGATGATACGATATCACTTTCCACGAAAAAAATAATATATTGTGGTTAACCATTTAGAATATGGTAGAATATGCAACTGAACATGTGTCGGAAAACCGTCTATAGCCGTGCAAGCTGATTAAAACAATAATACTATGCTGTTTACATAACTTTATCTTGAAAAAATGAATCATATCACGGTTAAACCTTTTTCAAAACAGCTACCCGAGAGTTATTTATAGCGCGCCAGTGCCGTTCGTTTCTAAAAAAAAAAGTTCGAGAAACAAATCTACCGAAAGTGGACTGGTAGATATTAGAGGTATCCAGGAGTTTCCTTTTTGTTTATGTATTTTTCGATAGCAAATTTTATTATCCACCTTAATTCTTTAATTTGACAATTATGTGAAACGATTTATCTAAACAAAAAGTTATATTTAGTGTTTCGAGTCTGTTGTACTGGCCATTTTAGATATATTGTTTCCATGCACTTTTAAACGTTATTTACAATTGATCGTAAAGGCAATATTAGGAAAACAGAAACATGTCTTAAAGGATAGTTATGCCTCAGAAATGCTTTAATTGTTTATTTGTTAAAACGTTTAATTTTATTGCTCTCCTATGGTTTTCAAAGTCAGTTATTGGCCAATTACGTGATCCATCCATCTTTTACTTCTGTTGTTGTTTGGTATTAAGTACAGTTACATGTATAGTGATTTAGTACTTTGTATGGAAGTCAAAATACCGCTTTGTTATATATTTCACTACTTTTTATAACAAACTATTTTACATTGATCGCTACTTTCTTCAGAAGATAAATCTTTCAAACATGCTCTAAATTATTTAAAAAAAAAATAAAATTCATGCTTACACTATCTAAAGACAGAAGTAAAAAAATAATTCATTTCAGAAGCATAATGTACCTTTAACGTTTGAAACACATCGGAATTTACTAGAGACTTCTCGTAAAGAATTTTGAAAGGTTGTAAGTTTCATGTCTACATGCGCAGTAACTATGTTAGTTTAAGTTTAAACATATTTATTTAAACTCGATTGCAAAACTTAAATAAATCACTTTCGAGTCCACTCCTTGAAACTTATCAGTACTAGTGTAAAAACACACACTGTGGTCGTGGACCAAGTAGGGCTATAAATTGTCCTCTTTTACAACACAAATAAATTTTGGACCGGAACGATTAAATGTCACCAGTGACAAGAAATGTACTCTTAAAAGGTTAAAGAACGGAAAATAACGGAATATATACTCATCACGGTATAATTACAAATTAAACAAACACGTTTGTCAACATCATAGTCTACTTAATTAAACAAAACACAAATTTAGCGTAAACAAAATACTGCAATCGGTCATTTTGCTATAAATTTCTAATTGATTACCTTGTTTGTTTATGTCAGAAACTTACGAAACATTAAATAATTCTCTCATATGAAGACATTGTGTTCATATGAATGCAGGAAATAAATATATAACATAAAAAAGTGGTCATTTATGTGAACGTTTCCTGATAAACTATTTGCGTTACTCACGACTTTTTTGGTCGTGTTGGTTATTTTATATTATGTGGTCATTACTGAATATCATTTGATCACTGGACCGTATTTGTGAAAGTAAACTCATAACAGTTTCAGGTACATCATTGTTTTGTCAGGGTTTTCTATGTTACATATACACAAGTGCAGATTATGTTCCAGTTACCGATAGTATTCCAACAATTACGTGCTTGGTGGTCTGGGTCTTCGAAAACAATGTCTCAATGAATTAAAGTTTTAAGTATAAGTTGATAATTTTATACAAATACTGTAATGAAGTGTAAGTACTAAAGTAAACAAGAGATGTTTCTAAGACAGAATGCTAGACTTTTCCCAGTGTTTGGTAGTTAAACAAAAGCCTGAATAATTTAGAATTTTCTAAGTTCAAAAGGGGCCTTTATTCTGTCAAAATCTATGTTAGATTTATGGGCATTTAACAGTGACCTGCTATTAAGCCCCTAGATTAATGTGTGAAGTTTCAACCAATTCCCTTCAGTAGGTTTGAAGGCAACAACTTGCACGCAATAACTTAACCAACGTGTATAGGGCGATGCTGACACCGATGCCAGGGTGGATACAATAGCCTTCACTTTCCTCCAAATAGTCGAGCTAAAAACTAATCACAACGAAAAACTGATGACTTATACGCATCTATTACTCACAATTCGGTAAATAACGGTGTGCGTAAGTGCGTCATGCTAAAATGAAGATAAATCGATGGTTTTTACCTCAATTATTTCAAATTAGCTTTACACTTATCCAATTACAACAATGATAATGAAAATAACGTTGCATGATCAATCAAGTAACAACAACGAACAAGATATAAACGTTTATAGGAATATTAGATGAAGGTAAATATACATTTTTTCTCTATATTTTACTCATTTTTGTATGCACTGTGAAATCAGAATACCTGCATTTTTGATATAAGTATGTTTTTCCTGTATTCAATGTTAAAAACTGTTAGATGAAAAATGTCAATTTCTTGATCAACTCAAACTAAACAACGCAGTTGCTGCAATATTTTAAGTGTATTAAACTGATTGACTGACAGAAAAAAGCAGCATAAATTTAATTGCTCAATTAAGTAATGATTACAATAAGCCGTAAAAGTTATACATTTGTCAGTATTCTGACCGTTGCCTATATCATAGCTTAAATGACTTTATATGCTTTCATCAATATCTAAATTTATAATAAAACAAGTTCCGAAATCAGATATTTTTGTACGGATCTTTGTTGAAATATTTCATAATTGGCATTATTTGTATTACATGTCGCAACCCAGTAGCGGCTTTTCAACTTCTGAGTATTTTTTCTCTTACAGATAATAAACATGCTATTGCATACATTCTCAACGCCTTTTCTTCTAAAATTTTATATTGCATATGCGGCAATATTGAACCTTGGACGATGCCAATTTTTTGGGCGATCTTTCGGTGATCCACGTTTTCGCCCGCAAAACATAACTTATCCTAACTGGAATAGTAGAAGACTAAACACGAGTAGATATAGAATAAATAACAATGGCGAAACATCAAGTTTACGTGGACATGTAAATTACCAAAACGATTTTGGCGCTGATCGTAACTCTAGATCACGTGTGTTATATAATACATTTAATAACCATTCTCGTAGAAATCAACAGCCGTTTGTGTATTTACACAGAGATAATCGTATCTCTAGGCCAAGGTCGTCGACTTTTCACAACAGAGGATTTAGAAACAATTCACCTTCAAACAATGTTGCCGATGTACAAAATGATAGAATCAGGGTCTTTCCAAACGGAGCCGTAGCCACACCAGTTCGTTTCCGGGGCAACAACGCACGATTCCCTACATATCGCACGCTAACATCCACGACAGGCAGAACAGTTTTAAATCAAGACCGTCTTAGAAATCTTCAAAGACCAACGTTGTTAAATTCACCCGCCCGAAGATCTTTACAAAGACAACCACATCTGTCAACAAGTGATAATCAAGTGCTTGGTCAATCAGGAATGTTTCCAAGCAGGGAACTCTCCAACCAATTTCAGGCTAGAAGTTCTATTGGAGTAGAAAGGCCTAGAATTCGTGCAGAGCGCAACGAAGTGTTTCAATATAGAACATCAGTCATGCGTGCACCAAGAGCAGGGGCCTCTGGATCAAGGAACAATGATAATCAACAGCGATTTACTGGCTACCCTTCTCGTTCTCTATCACTTCCATTTGAGCCGCTTTCCTTGCGATATCAAGGTTTTAGGGAATCAAAATTAGCAGCGCAACAAAGACTAGAATCTGACAGGATAAGAAATGCTAACATGCAGAATTCAGATGCATTTCAAAGTAGCCAGCTGCCTAGCCAAGCACAGCTTATGCTTATAACAGATACAGCAAATAATAACAGGAATGCTACATTCCAACCGAGAATAACAGGTAGAATCTTAACATTTTCCAGTGAGAATACGCGTCCTTTTAGTAGTGATAATGGAATTCAACATAATATACCAACAAGAAACATTGTTCAAGGTAATCGTATGTCTAGTGACAATACAAATGCTGCCGACAGAAATAGAGCTAACAGCCGTTTCATACGGCCGTTTGGCGTTAGACCACCAAGCTCTAATAACAGACATATTGGTTCAAATAGAAACAATCTACCTCGCATAAGAACTCAAGGAGGAGTACCTCCTGCAAGAAGATTTTCGAATGGTTTTGGAATTTCACAACCAAATGTCGTCTGGCAGAATAGAAGGAGAAACAGTATTCCTCAAACAAATGCACCGAACCGTGCTGTACACGAGATATTTGGTATATCAAGAACTGGCTTGGAAAATGCACTGAAATCTAACGCTTTGCAATTTGATCAAACAAATAATTCAAAAAATACTAAAGCAACAAAAAATTCTGTATCACTGCAAAAAAATAATGATCAGCGACGTACACAAACTGCCAGAAACAATCGAAATAAGGAAAATTTGATTGCAGATATAACAAAATATTTAGAAATTGCTGATAAACTTGATTTGTTAGGATTATTACGGAGACATTCACAGACTTCTTTAAGATCAAAATCACGCGAAGACATAAATAATGACAGTGATGATATTTTATCTAGAATATCAGATGGTTTTGTAGACTCAGCACATACATCAAGGCAAAGGTTCAGAGAGCACGATGAAGACATGGATATGCACGAAGATGGTTTTATCAATGACTAAATATTTAGTTCATTTCAAAGTCTATCCATTGCACATTAAACTCGACCCTCGTGCTTGAAATAATGCACGGGGGACCCGGGGACTTTCTCCAACAGTTAACCTGAAATGTCGCCATATCACATATACTGTGTTGGTGCGATGTAAAACTCAACCAAAACAAATGTTAAGCTCGCTGTATTAAAGAAAACCCATTGTGAAGCTCGACGTTTCAATGATTTTCTAATGTAAAGCTCGACGTATCAACGTCTTCTAAATGTAAAGCTCGACGTATCAACGTCTTCTCAGTGTTTAGCTCGCCGCATAAAGTATTCTCAATGTAAAGTTCGACGTATCAACGTTTTCTCAGTGTTAAGCTCGTCGTATAAAGTATTCTCAATGTAAAGCTCGACGTATCAACGTCTTCTCAATGTTAAGCTCGACGTATTAAAGTCTTCTCAGTGTTAAGCTCGCCGTATAAAAGTATTCTCAAATGTCAAAGTTCGCCGTATAAAAGTATTCTTAAACAAAGTCTGTCTTCTTAGTGTTAAGTTCGCCGTTTAAAAGTCTTCTCAGTGTAAAGTTCGACGTAACAAAGTCTTCTCAATTTAAAGCCGACGTATCAACGCCTTCTCAATGTTAAGTTCGACGAATTAAAATCTTCTCAGTGTTAAGCTCGACATATTAATGTTTTTCTATTGTTTAGCTCTACGTAATCAATGTTTATCCATTAAGCTCGACGTATCAAAGTCTTCTCAATTTTAAGCTCGCCATATTAAAGTCTACCTATTGTTTGGCTCGTCGTTGCAAAGTCCATACATGCACGATGTATATTGTTAAGCTCGACATTTTATGTGTATCCAATGTTAAGCTGGCCATATTAAAGTCTAGCCTTTGTGTAACTCGAGATTACACACTCTAGCCATTGCTTAGCTCGATATATCATGTGTAGCCATTGTTAAACTCGACATATCAAAATCTGGCGATTGTTAAACTCGACATATCAAAATCTGGACACTGTTAAGCTTTTCTTATTAAATACTATCCGTTACTAAGCTCGCTGTATTAAAGTCTTTTGAAGGAGCGTCTTTATGAATATACATGAAAAAAGAGCATAATATAAATTACCGGTATTAGTCAGCTTACTCTGGGTGAGAAATAATATAAACATAAAAAACAACAAGAAATTTTTAAGTTGTTTTGTGAAGCAAACAGTGTATTCTAAGAATGGTCTGTTTTATGGAGAATAGATTTACAAAATAACAATTTTTGAATGTCATAACTTACTATAACACAAAATTATTAAAGTTTCTTCTTCATATTCACAACAGTACTTAACCGTAATGCACCTTGAAGTAAAGACAATCTTGGGTTTTAATTGTTTCATTCAATGTCGAGTGATGATCATTTGAAAATGTAATGGAATTCGTCGCCTAGATCATGATGACATAAAATGCATATTCTACGTTTTAGTGAACCAGACTCAACAAGTAATCTAAATCTAAATCATAAACTTCAAGTTATTGTGATGAATTTTTACAAGCTAAAAGTGTCCTTATTTAAAGGATAATAATAGTTTAAACAACATTACTGTTGGTAAATTCTAATGTTAAACCCAATTTATTAACAAAAAGATCAGACATTTATTTTTTTTTGATTAAGGATTAAGATAATCGATTTTATTATAGAGAAAAATCAAGATCTCTCTCGACACCAATAAGCCCACAGGAAAGTATTATCTTTCCATTTAGAAGTATATGCATACATACAATAAAATTTAAATTGTCTTAATAAAATCTTTTTATATCTAAAATAAGTTTCCGAAATTTCAAGTGTATAAAGACCTATATCCATTGTCAAAAGATTTTTTTATTATAGATAGGTGTTTAATGGTTTCGTGCGCTAAATCTGGTAGCTATTATTTGTGCCATGATTAAATATCTTGAAAAGAATCTATTTTGTCATTGTTATTTTGGAAAAAAGAGTGACTTTTTACTTCGTTTAGTCACATAATAAGGTAAAACCAACATAATAACATGTAATTAATCGAATAATTAATCGAACAGATTAAAGATTACAGCGGTATGATATAATATATCTTGTTGAGGTGACGTCAGTAAAATTGCTCTTTGTTGCCAGTATAACAAACTTTCCTTACAGTTTAGAATATCTTACAATATTATTAATTGAGTTATCAGGAAACATGAAATTGGTAAAACATTTGACTAAATATGATATCTTTGGTTTATACAAAATTTATCTTAGTTCGTTTGTGTAGGAAGCTTAAAAGCTTATAGACACACTCTCTGTTCCAGGTACCAACCAGTGCAGAGCAATGAGTGTAAAGTTCCTTGCTCAATGACACAACGGCTCGCCCCTGAAAGGGTTTGAGCCAATGCCAACAGTGATCCTTAGTGGTATGACGACCACTCGTTAACTATGCCGCCACATAAGATATTCTTTAAAGTTGATTTAATTATGAACCGCGGTTATTCAAGAAAATCTTCCAAGAAAGCTCAAGCCGGTATAATAACATGTTACCGCGGAAAGTTATTGATTGATTGATTGATTGATTTTTATTCAGGTTAAAATTATACATATATACAATATAATGTATATTATGTATGCCTAGCATACATGTGTATGCAATCGTCTGAGCATTTATTTGATTGTATTCATCTTTTACTGTCGACAATAGGCTATTTGCCATTCTTATCCCGATACATACCGGACAGGCAACCCATGTGCTTAGGTATCATTATTTATTACTAGTATAATGATAAATATCAAAATTATTACAAATAGGTTTATATTTGATTAAATGCAAGTTTGATGATGTTAATTTAAGGGAATTACCATCTTAGTACATATATGTAAGGATTTTTTTCTGTTCAATACAGCCTATACATGCAGCTAAGTATATGAGCAATAAGTTGCTTTTTGTGGTGTAACGAGGTAACATCTTTCAGTTCAGAAAAACAACCGGTTTAACCTTTGAACAAACTGGATAGGTAATACTATCTTATGCCCTTGATTAACATTAATACTTTTTTGCGTTGACTCAACACTTAGAAATTGGAAGATTGAGTTAGCGTTTAATCAAAGTGACATTTTACAAATACATGTAACAATGGTAAATAATTTAACATTACATTCGACCTAATGGATCTGCATATAGATTACATTACAATACATATGCGTGTTAGTAATATGACAAGGGAGAGAAACGTTCAAAGAATGAAATTATCTTTTAACTTGAAAATATTGATATAAGTTTCAAAGTTTGATCTATTCATTAATTGAAGCACTATAAAAACGCATTGATAGGAATCTTTAAGTCAATAAAGTTTGATTTTTATTCAATTAGTAAACACTAATCCGTTGTACCATGACTACCAATTTTCTTAAGTTTAAATTCTTGAGTATGTAAGATAACCAGATCGTTTAAGCCATTTTCTGGTAGATTCCCATAATACACTGTAGTTTCAATTTTTGTACAAAGCCATTTTTTTGAATTAGGTGTGCGCGTGTGTGCGTGCATGAAAAGCGTCTTTACTAGCAATGACCGAATTACAAATTTACAAGAGAAATTGGGACATTAATATCGAGCACAAACAAACTACCCATGTTAATCTACCTGGGCCCCGGTTTAAAAAAATATAATGAAAAAACTTAAATCATTCATTGAAGTGTAGTCAGTTGAGTCCGATAGTTTTGAATTTAGGGGTAAAAATATTTTACTCGCTTCACTCGGGGATACAGTGCAATTTATGTACACATTGTACAATCAATCTTTAAACATGTTTTTGGTATTTTCACAATAAATGTATTAAAAGATTAAAACAATTATATCATAAAAATAAATCTTGAGGTTGTCGAGATACTTATATTTTCCATACATACATACAAAAAAAATAAAAGAAAATAAATATGACTGAATGAATGAATGAACGAACGAACGAACGAATAAAAAAAACGAACGAACGAACGAATAAATAAATAAATAATAAATAAATAAATAAATAAATAAATAAATAAATAAATAAATAAATAAATAAATAAATAAATAAATAAATAAATAAATAAATAAAATAAATATGAATGAATGAATGAATGAATGAATGAATGAATGAATGAATGAATGAATAGAAAAATAAATAAATAAATAAATAGAAGGAAGTTGTTAAAAAAAATGTCCTGAATTCCCGGAAAACAAAATAACAAAACTTATCTTTATCAAATTTAACGGATTGAGTATCATGTAACAACGGCTATACAATGTACGAAGTTTTATAATGGCTTTAATTGGGTATACATTGTTTAGTATCATTGTTGTAGCATGTCCGTTTTAATTGTTATAGGGTTATAAACCATCTTTGTAAAATATTTACTGTTTAACCATCCATATATTAATCTGGCGGACACTCAAACAAAGAGATAGCTTTACTCTAAAGTAAACGGATTAAAATATTTATCGCAGTTTTGTTTATTCAATGTGATATAACGGAGTGTAATTTTCTTTTTTCTATAAATTTAAAATCTAATGTTTATGTAACATTGTATCATTGAGTTCTTTAAAAGGAAGAAGTGAAATTTGGATTCCTGTTGGATTTTTCCCTACAGTTTAAAAGACGCTGTGCTTGAGTAGGTAAATAACAAATTTGATTATAAACTATCAAAATATATTAAAATAAAAAGATGTTTTGTTGATCCGAATCTCATCACGGCAATTTTCTAGTATGGAATAGACGCATCATCTATACAGCTTTATGGAGTTATGTCCGCTCTATAAAATTCATGTGTGGTGTTTTTTGTACATTCTATAAAATTTTGCGATGCGGGATTTTGACACATAGGGTTTTGTCTGCGTTCCATAAAAATGCTTTCTTTTGTTTTTTTTTACTAGTTTGTTTGAGTGCGACTTTCTTTTTGCGTTTTTCTCTCTATGATTTAAAAGAAATTGAAACACATTTGATTTAAAAGAAATTGAAACACATTTGATTTAAAAGATTTGAAACACAGTTTGGTAAAAACAGTTGGTACAAATATACGAGCTAGGTATTCTAATATTGTCTTAATGATTTGTACAAGTTAATACATTCGCACAAGTTGATAATTTAACCATGTAATGTAATGATTATCTATATATCTATCTCTGGATACTGCCAACCCCTCTTACGAGTGTTATAGACAGGAATTTAGTTAATAAAAGGTGAAAAGAAA